GAAGCCACCATCAAGTTCGAGATTTTTCTGAATTGGTTTTTTAATTTTTTTCACTTTAATTGAATTTCCACGTGACTTCACCGATTAATTATACGTTGAACTGGGTCCACCCCCGAAAAGATCCGGAATGGTGCCAAACTTTGCCAAATGGTCTCTTGTTCCCTAGGAGACAAATATTTGTGGAGGTTGATGCAAAATTATATTGTTTTTTATATGTAATTCGCCGTATTTCGTCTCACGCGGCACAAAGAAAAATGTAATAATAAAAATAATTATTAGAAAAATCTAAGATCTTGTGTGGGGCCATATTTTGGGTGTAAATGACTTCGAAAAAAATTTCAAGCCATTTTGATATAGGCGGAGTCGACGTGCTTCACAGAGGTATATAAAACCTTTCGTCGAACCCTATCAATACACCTAGGTTCTCTGAGATTCTGAGGTCCATGTGCTTTCTAGTGCCGGATTGGGCTGAAACTTTTTCTCAAGACTTCCAATGCCTTATGTGTAGCCACCACCAAGTTTGAGATTTTTCTGAGGTGGTTTGGTACTTTTTTTCACTTTAATTGAATTTTCGCGCGAATTCACCGATTAATTATACATTGAACTGGGTCCACCCCCTAAATGATCCGGAATGGTGCCAAACTTTGCCATATGGTCTATTGTGTCCTAGGAGACAAATATTTGTGGAGGTTGATGCAAAATTATATTGTTTTCAATATGTAATTCACCGTATTTCGTCTCACGCGGCATAAAGAAAAATGTAATAATAAAAATAATTATTAGAAAAATCTAAGATCTTGTGTGGGGCCATATTTTGGATGTAAATGACTGCCAAAAAAATTTCAAGCCATTTCGACATAGGCGGAGTCGACGTGCTTCACGGAGGTATATAGAACCTTTTGTTGAACCCTATCTATACACCTAGATTCTCTGGGACTCTGAAGTCTATTTGCTTTCCGGTGCTAAATTGGTCTCAAACTTTTTCTCAAGACTACAAATACCTTGTGTGTAGCCACCACCAAGTTTGAGATTTTTCTAAGGTGGTTTGCTACTTTTTTAACTTTAATTAAATTTCCGTTCGAACTCACCGATTAATTATACAATGATTAATGAAGAACCTAAAGATTTACGTTACAATTACGTGAAAACTAATTTCCTGTCGAAAATCAATAAATTTAATAATTTCAATTAAAGTCTACATTTTTGCATTAACGAAAATAGTGAGTATTAGTTCTATTATATTCAACATTTATAATAAAAACACAATAGTTTAGGTCACATATTTTTTTTTGTGCAGTAAATGAAAATAAAGTTTATTACTTTTTCTAAAAAAATTTATGCCTAGTATTGAATTTACTGCGCAAATAATAAGACTTAAACATTTAAATACAAAACATATATAAAATAAACTGATCTGCTTAAAAGTTGGCGGAAAATAAAAATGTAGCCCACCTTTAGTCCTGGCTCCTGCCACCAGCTGGGACTAAAGGTGGGCTGCATTTGGCGGCCCGCCAAAAAATCCTTTAGTCCCGGCTCCTTCCAATAGCCGGGACTAAAGGTCCCCCCTTTAATTCCGGCTGGTGGCAGGAGCCGGGACTAAAGGTGCTTTAGTCCCGGGCGGTGGATGGAGTCGGGACTAAAGGTCCCTCTCCTATATACCGCTACCTCCCTTCTCTCTTCCTCCTCATCGATCGTCTTCATCTTCGGCGCGTCCCCAGAGCTCCGCCGTCGCCGATTCGCCTCCCCGGCCACCCTCGACGCCGCCTTCCTCATAGGAGGGCACCCCGACGCCCGCCTACCTCACCGGAGTAGCCCGACGCCGCGCCCCTTAAGGAGGAGCCCCTAACTGCCCCCGACGCTGCGCGCGCGCCACACCGCCGCCGATTTCGTTTTCTCGGGCCACCCCGGCCCGACGCCGCGCCTTCTTCCTCATCGGAGGGCATCCCGACGCCCACCCACACCTCGCCGGAGTAGCCCCGACGACGCCGCTGCCGGCCAGGAGCCCCCGTGCCTCGATCCAGCGCCGCTGTCCACCACCGCCCGCCGCCAACACTCCATTAATTCTAAACCGCCGGTATATATATATATTATATTTATGAATTATATTGACGAAATGTGTATTAATGTATATATGTATGAAATTATATATGTATGAAATGTGTATATATATATATCAATTAATGTATATATGTATGAAATTATGTATGTATGAAATTTATATATATATATATTAATTAATGTATATATGTATGAAATTAATGTGTGTGTGTATATATATCAATTAATGTGTACATGTATAATTTTTTTCTTAGGAAAAAAATCAATTGTGTTATATTATGATACCATGTGGCCTATACCCTAAACCCTAAACCACCCTAAACCCTAAACCACCCTAAACCCTCCCCGGCCACCTTGGCGATTTCCTCTTCGAAAGTGCGCCGGTAGCGGATGAATGGCAGAAATATGAGCATGGCAGGAGTCTATGGAATCCTAAGACCATCAATGAACTGGGTACACAATTGTTCAAGCTAAACACCTTATACCTCGACACGTGTCACCGGAAAGAGTTCTATATTTCTGTCAGAATCAAAGACGACCATTGGTTCCGTGGCGATGACGCTATGTACATTGAGTTTGCTGAATTACACCAACTAGTCCACCGGAACTCTCTCGACAAGACTCTCATCAGCTGCTATTGTCTGTAAGTGATTCTTTCTACTAATTAATAATAAGTCGTTACGTACGTACATGTCTGTGTTTATTATCCTCACTCTATATATATGATGCAGGTTAGAGATGAGAGAGTGCAAAAAGAGAGGGTGTACTGATATTGGTTTCATTGATCCACATATCGTATTCAAAAACCCTAAACCCCAACCAACATGGAAAGCAGAAATGGAGGCCAATATCAAGATGTTCTTAGAGAAGCAACGTGACAAGAAATGTATACTCTTTCCCTACAACTTCAGGTAAGTGTTTATAATGTCGACGATCGTGTATCCATATATATATGTTCACTGTACCTGTTAGCTAATTAATGAGTGTTAATGGACATAGCAGTGAACACTGGATATTGATGGAATTCGATCTGGAGAAAGGTCTTCTAGGCATCTGGGACTCGATGAGAAAAGAGCAAAAAGAGTTCCAAGAGATGATAGATATTATTCAGAGATAATTGCAGTCTCACTAGCAAAACTATTCCAGTCTCTCTGCATGCAAATTAATGGTCCAAATATTTTTTATGTTATTTGGTAGTTGTTGAAAAAAGGTCTGTCAGGAACACCATATGAAACGCAAAGTGCCACTGAAAGTAGTGCTATACAAAGTAAGTACTATATACCTACCTTAATTCAATTTTCCTATGCTCGGATGATGACGAATCTTTTTCTCGTAAAGTGGGTTCTGCTGCAGCCCCAGGGGACCAATCTCTGTGGATACTATGTTTACGAGTTCATGAGAGTGTGCTAAAAAAGAACTAGTCTAGAGCAAAAAAGGGTAAGTGTACACACACACATATATATATATATATTCTTCATACATATATTTATATATATATATATATATTCGTGATAGATACAATTTATTTATCATTATTCTTGATACATACATATATATATATATACCTTTTCTTTATCTCATATCTCAAATTGAAGACTCGTTGGTTGAAGGAAAAAACCTTGGACACACACCATCTCAAAGCAATCTAAGAGACAATAGGTGGATTTCTGAATGATCAGGTCTTAACTCCCGGCGGCGAGTTTTACTATGACCCAAATATGTGATGATGAAAGCCAAATTTCATATTGATCCAAAGAACATGTGATGATGAAATGTACAATTAATGCAAACTTTACATGTGACGATGAAATGTAATATTATGTTTTAGTTTATTTTTACTTGTGTTGCTTGCGTGCATTGATCGAGCGAAAACTTTACAGTACGCGCGCGTATACGTATATTACTTTGCAGCGAATAATGCGTATTCAAAAACCAAATTAAAATAAAAAAGAATCATCAATTGAAATAAGCAGGAAAAGAAAAAAAAGACCCTTTAGTCCCGATTGGTAATACCAACCGGGAATAAAGGGGCCAGCCTAGGTGCTGGCGTGGCTACCTTTTTAGTCCCGATTGGTATCACCGGGACTAAAGGTCCACTTCTATTCCTGTCTACTAACCCTTTATTCCTGAACTCATATTTCCGGCTGCGTAACCGGGAATAAAGGGGTTGGCAACTGGAAATAGAAGCGCTTTTTTTTACTATTTCTACTAGTAGGCGGCGACATCTAGTCGGTGCGCCTGCGCGGCCACGGGAGGGATTGAACTCTCCCGGACGCAGATACCTCGGTCGAGCTCCTCAGCACACCGCCACACTGCCGTCTTTACCGAGCCTTATCGCCCGTTGTGGCTGCTCTAAGGGTACCAAGAAAGCAGACTGACTTAAAGTTATGGTAATTTAGATCTTGCACGAAATGATTAGTAAGTTTAGGAACAAAAATATACATTTTGAAAATGTATAGGCATCTAGATGACACCTCAAATACCGGTGTATTTTACTCTAAGTTTGTGCCACCGTGAGTTGTGTGGCACCATGGATTACCACGTAGGCTAACGGGTCAGATCAAGGCCTATTAGGACCTCTGTTGGAACCCACTACGTACAAGTTTAGACTTTAGAAACTAAAAAGTAGGCATTTCTAAAGTTGGAAGACCGGAATGGCACAACAAGCTATAAGTTTGAACACCGGTACTGAATTTTACTCAATTTACATTTATATGGACAGCGGGAGGTAATAATAATGAAATAAAAGACTCTTGGATGTAATGTAATCATATATGATAGAACCTCGCATACACTGATACACACGAACACCTCAGCATACACATGCAAGTTGCACTCTACAAGAATTTTCATCAAAAAAAAAGACAAGGTACGAGTGAACAACAACACGACGACACGACTTGAAACGTGGTACATGCATATGCATGCATATACCGAGTAAATTAAGCAGCAGCCTCTGACGCAGTGATGGCGCCGCAGCCGTCGACGAAGCGGGCGACGGTCTGGATGAGCTCGCCGGTGGCCTCGGACGCCGGCTCGTGCAGATAGAACCCGTGGGGCTTGCCGGCGAACTCGGCGAGCTCCACGGGCTTGCCCATCGCCACCAGCCGCTCCGCGTAGTCGACGGTGCGGTCGCGGGTCAAGTCGAGGCCGCCGACCACCACGAGTACCGGCGGGAAGTCCACCGAGCCCAGGTCGGGGCTGTCCGGCCCGAACGGGTTCGCCACTGGGTGGTCCCTGGTGGCGCCGGTCGGCAGCGACAGCCGCCAGAACCGGTCGACCAGGTCCAGGTTCGGGAACGCCTCCTCCGGGCACTCGGCCTCCGAGACCGTGCGCCGTACGCCGCCGAAGAACGGCATGAACAGAACGTAGCCGCGGACCGTCACAAGGCCTGGCTCTGGATCCGCCGCGGCTGAGCCGCTGCCACTGCCAGCGCGCACGGCGAGGTGGTGCGCGATCGTGCCGCCCGCGGAGTCGCCAGTGACGAACACGTGCCCGAAGTCGGCGGCCTCCGAGAGCCATCCGTCGGAGGCGGCGCCGCCGGCGGACTGGTCTCGGAGCCAGCGCATGAATCCGGCCCCGTCGTCGAAGGCCGCGGGGAGGCGGTGCTCGGGGGCCAAGCGGTACCCCGCGGAGAGCACGACGGCGCCGGCGTCCGCGGCGAGGCGGAGGCAGAACTCGTGGACGTTCGCCCACGTGCACGACCCCAGGCAGAAGCCGCCACCGTGGAAGTGGACGAGCACCGGAAGCTTCTTCTTCTTCCCCACGGACGCGGTCGGCGTCGGCGTCGGCTTGTACATGCGGACGTGGAGGTTCTTGGCCTTGTCGTAGACGGCCTCCTTCCACTCCACGGACGGGTGGCTGCCGGGGAAGGTGGTCGGGCAGAACACCGGGCCTGCCGGCGACCGGAGCACGGTGCCGTCACTGAGCACGCGCAGGAAGCCGAAGAGGTCCTCAGCGACCTCGTTAGCCGTCGCTGCGGCGGCGCAGCAGGCGGCGGCCGAGACGGCAGGCATGGTTTCCCAACTTCACTTCAGACAACCTCGGAAGACAACAAGTCAAGAAGGCTGGCTGAGCTGAGGATCTCCAGCTGCCTAAACCGTCTTATATATAGCTAAGCTAGCCATCCCGTGGTGTGGTGGTGGTGAAAACTAAAAGGGTAAAGTCCAATTTACATCCTCCAATTTTCATCAAAGTTCAGATTTCAACCTCGAACTTTAAAACCGGACAACTTTGGTCCTCTAACTCTCGAAAAAGTTCAACTTTCAACCTTTTGAACGGTTTTACGGATGAACAGTCACTTTTAATATTTTCAGGAGCACCAAAATTTTATATTATTTTTTCGAGCATCTTAACGTCCTCGAGTGAAAAAATCGTTCGTAGCTAGCACGCACAGAGCGCAGGCGCATGCATCATGCAGCTCCCCTCTGTTAGCTAATTAAGCTAGGGACGATGGATCGACGTGAAGATCCTGACATATAGATGCATCGTCGTGTGCATGCACGTGTTGCGTTACACATACACCGTGCTTGGCGTGTGCGCCGACCCGGCAGTGCAGTGCACCGGCAACGAGAACGGCACGTCGACACCTGAGCAGGCACGGCTGCCCCGCGCACGTGTCCTTGCCGAGGCCGAGCCAGCCAGCGCGGCGGTCTAGCTCGATCCAGCTAGCACTAGCAGCAAAGCCATGCATGTTGCTAGGTACCAGCTGCAAGCGCGACTGACCGGCCGGTGGATCGGAGTCGAGCTGAGTCATCACCCTGCGCTCCAGGAACCACGGCGCCGAGCTCGGTGCTAAGATTTATGGCGTCGAGCTACCTGTCAAATCATCGTCACGTCAGCGTCGAGCTAAAGAGCTCAGAGTCCAGATTTTAAAATCTTATCTTCATAGACATATTTATGAATTTTTTTTAAAAAAAAGAACTAAAAAATAAAAAAATTGGCAAACTTGTGGCCAGGAGCTGCACACGTGCTCCACTCCTTGCGTCAGCTTACCATTTTTATTCAATGTCGATTTTTTTTATTGCGTTGCTCCCCTGCTGCTGCACAAAGAAGATAGCTTTGCAATGCACATTGGATCTCGTACTCCATGTGGTCGTTTAATTTAGGAAAAAATTTAAACTACAAAAGTGCAGTTATTTCGGCCTTTCGGGACGGGGAGGGTATATCCTTTTATTGATGACAGTATCATGGCGTAGTTGCATATGGACATATCATGGATGGCCCCACTGGATATACAAGGCTAAGATTCAACAATCTTTGCCACGTAACTCCTCAGGTTAAACTTAACTTCATCCAGGATATTTTCAACGAAAAGTCAAAAGCATGTTGCACTCAGAAGCTACAATTATTATGAAAGTAAACAAGATTAAAACACATGTGCAGCCCTACCTTAATGTCAACCCTTGCTGGCCAGTAATTTCAAGTTACTTTTGTCCTGTTCGCTTGGCTGATAAGTCATGGCTGAAAGTACTGTTGACTGATTTGTTGTGAGAGAAAAATACTGTTAAATACGGCTTATAAGCGAAGCGAACAGGACGTTGTCTTTACATGGCTAAGGTTATTTAATTAAGTGGCGGCTAACTTACCATTGGGCATACTAAATTACTAATCAGTAGGTAACACAAAAAGTCAAGGTTTATGGACCACAAGTTAAGATGGTATAGTAATTTACAGTCACTACTACTAGCGGATATGGATGCTTTGCTTCCTTCGCATGCGTGCACCTTCATGTAGAACTTACAAGTTAGCACCAAGTGAAGTTAACATCAATATATATACTGAATCATAGGTCCAGATTGAGAAGCGGAATATACTACCTAAGTTGAGAAAAACTTGATGTTTTAGTTTTATCTGAAGTCAAACTGTTTTAAGTTTGATTCTTCTTCATTTACAGAGCAGACCCATATGTATTCACTGTTTCTAAAAATACAGCCCAGTCCTCGGAGGCATGGCCGGAGATGATCGATCTGCAAGCGATGGCGGAGCACAGAGCAGGCTGGCGCGGCGTCCGGAACCGGACTTGCAAATGGAGAAAAACGCCGTCCAGTGCTTCATGCAGCACAGGTGATCGATCAGGCCACGCGGGACGCGACGATGCTAGCAGTGAGGTCCAAACAGCTTGCGGCCAGCCTGCTTTGCGATGCTCCTGCAACCTGGTGGCTATCTTTTTCTGAGGAGCTATTGTACCAAAGTTTTTTTTTAAAACAGCTTTAGCTTCAATAGTAAAGTTGTCTTATAAAACCAAAGAAAAAAACCGCTTCAATAGAAAAGTTGAGCTGTACCAATTACCAAACAAGCTCTACTTAAGCGGACTACGGCAGAAAAAAAACCCAGCAGTGAGACATAGACCGTGGACCGTAAAGAGGTTTGCTGAAAAGATTTAAAAATAAATATCTTTGCTTTAGAAAGAAGCTATAACTCTGGTTTGTACGTAATTTCCCCCCCTAAGCACAGACCATTCACAAAATTAAACTAAGCACGTAATAAACACTATGCAACGGCATGGATACATTAAAAAACCTATGGTTAATTCATTTTATTTTAAAAATAATTTTTCCATGAAGAAAATTTTCAAGCTACTTGAAAAAAATATTTATTTATATTTATTATTCACATCTCCTAATTAAATATTTTAGGGAGAAGGAAAGCAAAAAGAAAGAAAGAAAAGGACAAGAATGTTATATTGGGCCAACGAGGTCTCTTTACCTCAGCCTCACCTCGCTTGAGGCCTGTGACCTCTATTTCGGCCCAAGAAGGCCCAGGCGCCCGCCCACATCCCAGTCCACCATGCGTCCACGCCCTCCCCGATTTGGCCTTTTCCCTTCCGCTTCCGCAAGAACCCACCCACGCGGCCACGCAAGCCAGCAAGCGCGCCGGGGGATTGCGGCCAGCGGCGACTGGATCGGCGAGGCAAGCACGGATTATGGCGAATTCATCCATCCAGTATCCATTCCAGCCAGGGGGTGCCAGCGCTCCGCGGCCGCGCGGTGGCTGGTCGCGTGGACCGCGGATGTGGATGGCACTACAGCAGCTGGACTTGGCGGGCTGTGGTGCGCGCGGTGCGCCTGTGCGGCAAGCGGCAGGCCAGCAACAACAGGCAACACCTAATGCCGTCATGCCGAGGTGCCCAACAGTCTCGATTCGTGAACTCTGTAAGTCTGTATGCCTGCCCTGTAATTTTCCTGTTCTTACTCACTAGAGTCTGACTTATATTTCAACTAATTCGCACATTGCAGGCGCTACATGTTGCTTCACAATGCGCCATATATTCTGCAAAGTGGGAATGCTCATTTGATAGTTAAACAAATTAGACACTACTGCACTATATACATATTATTTATAGTTTATCCACTCTCAAGTGATACTTTACAGAATTCTGTTTCTAACAATACTGCACGATCCTCTGTCTTGCAGATTAAGGTTGTTAATATGTAATTCCCAGTTTCCCACACAAGGAGGCGTAGGCTGTAGCAATTGCATTGTCATCTCTTGACTTCTGTCTTGTAAGTATCTTACATTAATATGTATATAAGCTCGTGTCGAATAGTTCTCGAAAATGGAAGAATTTGACAGTGCTCTGCAAATGTTGAAGTTTTGTTATTTTATTATTTCTTAGATACATGATGAAATGGACCCTTTAGTACAAGAAGTTTCAAAACTTAAGATGATTATACAACACAAAACTATCGGCAAGAATCAAGAACAACTTATATCACATTAAAATTTATTTTCAGAAGAGAGATTAACTGTTTCGCAGAACACTTCATCCTAAGTATTGTAGAACTGATGTTAGGTTTGATTCATCAAAAAAGGGAATAAAAAGAAGTAACGTTAGTGACACTAAAACCAAACTATTGTGTTGGTCTAGTACTAGTACGAGGCATAATGAACTTATATTGGTCTAGTACTGTAGTATGTTGCACCCCCCCATAAGTATTTTTCCTTGATCTGCCATTGGTCAAAGATAGATCCTCACAGTTGCTTCACTTGAAATAACCGCCCCAGATTTTTTTTGGAAGTTGTATAAACGATCGAGAAGTCATTAACCTCAGTCCACTTCCACTCATTCATCTCCAGTATAAAACTGCATGTCACTGCATCAGAGAAGCATTGAACAAGCAGAAGAAACAAACCGAACAATCACACTCACAGGAGCCCAATAAAAACCACGACTGCAGGCCTTTGCTAACTGCTTGATGTGTCCACTCATTTTCCCATCCGTCTAATGGTGCTACAACAGTACAACTTCTTAGAAACTTTTGATGGTCGGAGTAATCAATGACAAAGATTTCTTCGCCTCCCTTCACATCTGCAACACATCCTCTCTATGTATATGTATACTCAACTATAGTGCAACATTGGCTGCAGCTGGGCGTGATTTATAGTTGTTCTCTATCCAAGGAGGTAGGAGCGGATCCCCTCCATGCCCAGGTGCCATGGCTGCAGATTCATCACCCCTCCTCAGTTGATCTATTGTTTTCCTGAGCACGCTTTTCTTCTAATCGATGGCAAATAAATAATTTGGCACCGCAAGTCAGATGTTTTTCCATAAAGAAGGATTTTATTAACTCAAGATGATCACATCGAGTTGATACAATAATCTAGCACCCATTCTGGCCTCTACAAAAAGCACACAGCCTAAACCAAAAAGAGAGAGAGAGAGAGAGAGAGAGAGAGAGAAAAGCCTGACAGCTTAATGACAATCAATCTTGAGCCCAGATTCTGACTAATATGTATATTTTTATGCTCAATAGGGTGTCAAAGTATGCAGTACACTACCGACATGGAACTTGCATCAATTAGACAAGGTAACGAAGCTAATCCTAGTTCATTGTAAGGCGAACTTTGTTTCATGACAAGTTTACTAGTTCTGATACATAACAAACACAAAACACTAGCGAAAATGGGAGATGACCCACGGGCAAATTATTCTTAAAGTAAAAGGCCATTCAAAAGAAATTAGGCAAAGGCCATCATGCTCTACTAGTATGTGAACAACAAAAACAACAGCCCT